GCAAAAACATTTTATGTTCACTATTATTTATTAATGCCGTTTTAAAATATTACACATAAAATTTATTCCAGTGCACATTAGTAAATAAATTATGCTTGTAATTTCTAATGCATTTTTAATTATAAATTTATCCATGTCTACCTTTATTTATGACAGTGGTGTCTCACTGTTGAACATACTGTATATTAATGGAGACACGCTAATTATGTATTCTTAGAAGTTGCATTCCACAAAACGTACGAGTCTGGTTTTATACATGCTAAGTCCTGTTAACATCAATTAATTTAGGAGTCGACACACACACAGTACTAGCTACCTTTAAAACAAGAAAAGATACTATTAGAAAATGGTTACAGGGTCTGGATTTGGGACAAGGACTACATTTATGTAGACGGAGAGATAGTAAATGCCAGCTGGATGTTTCATTTTCACCCCAAGTGTCTAAAAAGGGATATTCACCAGAAATGATATTCAACACAAAAACACAATAGAACAAAGCTCAGTGAATCTCTGCGGAGCCCCCAGAACTGATCTGTACTTAAATAGTATCAGCAAAGTGTTACGTTTAAGATTTTCTGGTTGGTTAATTTTGTGCTTCTTTTACACCCACCAGCTCTCCTCAGTATAAAGCAATACATTTGTTTTAAAAAAATTCTTTACAGTGAAATGTTATTTTAATTTGAAAATAGATTATATTGCTCTGAAATCATACACTTCTTGGGGGCTCCTTTAAAATACTTTGAATGGATTTTTGACACCTGATTTACTGTTGTCCTGAAATTGTTTCGTACCATAGGAGTGAAAATGCCTGTGTTTTCCCTATGGGAGGAAAAATATATTTCAAAAGTAGAGAAAACCAAAAAGGGGAAAATAGCAAGGAAACATATTCAGTCACATAAAATATTAAGAATACACATTTGCAGAGAACTCAAAGGTGCCTCCATTTTCCCACAGCTCTGGCGGGGCTTGAAGGAGGGTTACTTTCATCTCATTATGTTTACTCTCAGCTCGTTGTCATAGGTTTAGCAAAGTGATGTTTTCCACGTGCAAATTCAACTTATATAAAATGCGATTTCCAATTGCCTCATTTCAAGTGCATGTTTTGAGCAGCTTTTCATTTAACATGCGTTTTGCCGAGTGTTTATGGTATTTTAAGCTCTTAGCATATAAAAAGAAATAAGAAACGTCCCTCTTCTTATGTCCTGTCAGGGAGACTGATACATATCGAAAGAACAACAGAAAATGTGAGAAATGTTGAACACAGAGTGTGAAGCTCTTCGGTGGCCTGTTAGGAAGAGGTGATCTGGGAAAGCTTCCTAGAGGAAGCAAAATATGCATTGAGTCTTCGAGAATAAACGTAGTATATTTAGGAAATGATTAAAGTGGCATGTATATGTCATGTATATGCATATATAAAATAAAAACATTTTTAAAAAGCACAGTGGGGCTGCCCTGACTGGTGGGGCTCAGTGGGTTGGGTGTTGTCCCCAAAACTGAATGGTCACCGGTTCAATTCCCAGGCAGGGCACATGCCTGGGTTGCAGACCAGGTACTGAGGTGGGGGCATTCAGGAGGCAACCAATCCATGTTTCTCTCTTCCCTTCTCTCTAAAAATAAATAAATGAAAGCCTTTTACAAGATAAATAAAAAGCACATGGGGGTTATTCTTTTATAACATTGCCACTGTTATGTAGAACACTAAGCTAGCCACTAGAAGTGTCACAGGTTTGATTCCCAGCCAGGGTACATGCCTGGGTTGCAGGCCATGACCCTCAGCAACCACACATTGATGTTTCCCTCTCTTTCTCCCTCCCTTCTATCTCTAAAAATAAATAAATAAAATCTTAAAAAAAAAAAAGATAGCCACTAGAGAGGCCACAAGAAGAAAAACCAAGGTGCCCTAGCCAGTATTTCCAGGCATCTTCGACCTTCCAACCTTAGTAGCTGCCATCCGACTGAAAGGCAAGCCAGGCAGAAGAACCACCCACCAACCCACATAGTTTTCAGAAATAATAAATGGTTGTTGTTTAAAGCCACTAAATAAAAGGCAGAGGAAAAGAAGAAGAAGGAGGAGGAGTGGGGGGAGGAGGAAAGGAATTACTGAGTAGAAAGGGAAAGGGCAATGAAGTTTGAGCAGGAATTGAGGAAAGCAAAAACTTAAAGGGACCTGGAGCTTGCTGTCCACCCCGGTGTGCCAGGACGTGGAGCTGGCATTTACGCAACACTTCTGTGTGTAGGCGATGCTCCAAGCAGTCCCCACTGGCTCCTCATAACAACCTGGATGAGGAAATGAGATATACTAGGGGGAAAAGCACTTGTTGAAGGCTACCCAGCTACTCGGTATTGAGCCTCTGTCCATTGCCCCAGTGCAGTCTTGGGAACCAAGAGAAAAGGAAACTCCATCCTTTACCATGGCCTCCTTTCCAAGTTGGAACTGACATCTGTAAAAACTGACTGTCATAGGTCTGCTGAGATATTCATCCCTCTGCCCTCCTGTCTACCGGAGTTTCCTGCCAGCCCCTGGCCCAGCACAATCAGTGTGCTATAAAAATACAATTGTCCATGTGTGTCAGATGCTATGATCCTACCACCACACACCCCTAGATTGGAAGATAGGTCATTGTATGCCTTGCTTTTTAGTGTCACTTTGACTGTCTGATACAACCCCTACTTTTTGGAGGCTAAGTCATGCACTTGGCTCATTCTCTCTCCTCATCTCCTTCCCTACCTCCCTCATTTGCAAAATGGCTTGGGAAGCACCCCACTTTCTTTTTCACCCCATGTGCAGCCATCATTCGGGGAGCTTCTGAGGTTCATGTAGCATCTCAGTTCCTTGACTATCTCATCTCTCATTTTTTCCCCCTCCAGTTCACTTCGTCCAGGACCCCACTCTCACGTGACTCTCCATCTGAGGCTATTCACTGAGGCATCCACCTCTGAGGATAACCTCCATATTTCTTCCTTGCTCCGTCCGTGGCACCTGTTCCAGGACCTTTAGGCCAGTGATATAAACCTTTCTGGAATTCTCTAACTTACTTATCCAGCATCCATTCTGTGGTCCTTTTTTTTTTTTTTTTTTTTTTTTTTATTAAAGCACTCTTAGAAGCTGGGATCTTAAACATCTGTCTGGCAAAACTCCTTCCTTGGATTAAAGCAATTGCTGACTCTTTGTGTGCCTGTATCTTGACTGTTCAAACTACCTACAGAAAAGTCACACAAACCATTCTATTAGTATTACCATAAATTCGGTCCCCATTCTCAATGGGGCCCTCAACCATGTCTTTAAAATTTTACCATATTTCCCTGCACTCCAACTTGCCACAGCAACTATTTAAAATTCGTAGTCAAACTCATGTATAAGCTTCATGAGGGTAAAGTCCCTGTCTAGCTTTTCACCACTGAAACCTCCAGTGCCTTGGAAAGGCTTAATCCATGAGGCACTCAGTAAGTACTGGTTTACTGACTAAGGGGTAGTAATAGTGGAAAGCATTGTATGTATTAGTCAATGTTAGCTGTGTGCTGAGCTCTATTCCACGTGAGTTACGTGTATTAGTTCATTTCGACCTTGCAACAACCCAATGGGGTTACTTAGGACTTTTGTTATTCCCGTTTTACAGATAAGGAATTTTAGAGAGGCAGCTTGGAAACACGAAGTCACAACATTTGTAAGTGGTAGGGTGGATATTGAATCCTTACAATACATAAATGCTTAGCATGTCCGGTTGATTTCAGTTTTAGGTAGGTTGAGTTTTACGTGTCTGAGGGATAATTGTGCTTCAGATTGGAGGTCAAGACAAGTGAAAATTAAGATTATATTACAAGGGGTCAAGTAATCTGGTGACTTTAGAAAGCAGGCTATCTAGCCTTGTTTACACCCTTTGCTTCAGCAGAGCTCCTCTAATAGGCCCCCAATGGAACTGTGGTGGTGTGTGTGCAGGAACGCATTTGGGTGTTGAAGGTGCATCTCCACCCCCCAAATCCCCTGGCCCCAGCCCCCCATGAGCTAAGAGATTAATCATATATTTGAACATGAGGGTAGATTGTGGTATATTTGTTGGTAACTTTAATATTGGGTCTAGGCTGAAATCTGGCTTTGACTTTTATTTTTCTTTTGCTAAAATGCTTTTAAAAATATTCATTGAGTGATTTGAGAGAGGAAGAGAAATACTGATTTGTTGTTTCACTTATTTATGCATTCATTGGTTGCTTCTTGTATGTGCCCTGAGGGGGGATAGAACCCACAACCTGGCCAGAGCCCGAAGGTGTGTTTTTGAAGGAGACTTTCTATCTCTCACATAGGAGAGATAAATCATTGCACTGCTTGAGTTCTTCATTTCCCATCAGTGGCTCCCCTCACTGACTCCTGCTGAGAGAGACCCTGCAAACAATGAGCGCTGGTTCTGTGCCAGTCTTCGTATCTTATGGAAACCTCCCTGCAGTTCTTGAGGAAGATAATTATCACTTCCAGTTCACAGATAATAAGAGTAATAACTAACATCTACTGTTTACTGTGTCAGGCTCTGTGTCGAGCGTTTTAAAAGTATCATCCCACTTGAGTCTCACAACAATACTCTCAAATTGAAATGTTGTATGGATGGGAAAACCAAGGGTCAGAGAGGGGAGGCATTTTGTCTTAGAATACACAGCAAGTTAAGAGCTGCCATTGAACCCAGGCCTCTCTGACCTAGAGGCAAAGGTGCCTCATCACTCATTTCTGATGAACTTTGAGTTTTGTTTTGTTTTTTTACCATGGAGGGAGGGAGAAAGGAGACGATTCAAAGAGCGCTAATGTTGATTTCTACCTAACGCAAGTGCAGGGGTTGGCATGTCTTGCCAGACTCCCCAGGCCTTAAGGATGACAGGGAAGTGGCGCACATGCGCATGGCCTTCCACTCGACCCCGCCCCCGAGAGGGCTCCTCTCCACGCTCGGCTCCAGGGCTTGCGCACTACGTCCCCAGCCTGCAGCTCCTTCCCGGTCGGGGACTTCCGGTGTGGGGGGTGCGGTTCCGGGTCGTGGCGCGACTCGGGGCAACAGGGCTGCTGCTTAGCCGGCGGGCGGCGGCGAGCAGCGGGAGTATGAGGGCGAACCCGGAAAGCGGCAGCTGAGCTGGCCGGGAGGAGCTCAAGTCCCCGAGGATTCTGAGAGTACTGGGCAGGGGCCGGGAGGCGCAGGGGAGCCGGGCCCTCCCCCCAAGGAACGTGTCCGGGCCGACCTGGCACGTAGTGTGGCAGCACCTTCAGGTAAAGGTTGCCCTAGCCTCTAGCCTCCTCCCTTGCACTCCTCCCAGCCGCCGGTAGAGCCTCGGGGCTCCTCACTCATCTGCGCTCTGCACTGCCCATCGGGCAGCATGTCTGGCCCTTGCTCTGGTCTCCCGTGAGCATCCGTTTCCTGACCCTTTTCAGACCCGCAGGCTGCTGCCTGTGAGCCTGACAGCTAGCTGGGTTTGTGATTTGGGGGAGGAGAAGCCAGTCGGTCTGGTAGTTTGGGTAGGGGGAGGGAGGAGGGTACTGTTGGCTCTGGCAGTTTCTGGCCCCACTTTTGGCAACATTCAGGTGTCTTAATCTTCACAATATGAAAATCAAGTTTTCAAATCATTGCCTGTGTGACCCCCAGCTCCTAGCGCCCCTTCTCCCCGTTGCCCCAAAGGTGTAAACAGCCTTGCAGAACTGTTTTTTTTTATTTCTCCCTAGGTGGAGTGCTGTTGTAACTTGAATATAAATTCAGCTGTATATTTTTGGGAGTGGCAAAGTGCTCTAGATCTGTTTAAGGTAGAAAAACAATGACTGTAGTCTAAACTAGAGTATTACTTTAATCAGAGACCTAAAGGTTGACTCAGAAATTGGTTAAAATTTCATTCTGAATGAATGCACGTAGATTTTAAAGCTTTTCACAGTACTTGGCACTTGGTGCAAAGTATCATGTTGTAAACCAAAACCAGCAAAGTGTGAATGGTCAACTGGAGATGGGGGTTGACAAACAGTAGTTCAGACAAAGCCAACAGTCTCATTCTGTTTTGACAGGCAAAAGGGGTGGATTCCTAACTTAAAAACCCACTAGAGCAGGAAAAGGAGCCACCATCTTTTATTCCTCATATACTGTGAGCCCACACGAGATGCTCAATTAATACTGAAAGAGTTCTTGATGAAGCATTGATAATTGTTTTCATCTTTTTCAGTTTACACACTTGCAAGCTTGCTGGGGCCTCATAGGCGTGCTGGTGGCCCCTTTCCCATTCAGCTTTGCGCTCACACCTGCCTGCAGCTACTGTGGTCCCATTCTGAACTCACAGTCCTCTACAACTCCCGATCCTGCATCTCGCTAACTTTCCAGCTCTGCTTGAAAAGGGCCCCTTCCTAACTTATTCTGCCCCGATCCTTTAGATAATTAGGACCTGAAATCATGTTTGTCCTTTTCTTTGTCCCTTATGTTTTGTAGGTCATTCTCCCTGCGTAGGAAGTAGTCTCTCTGTTGCCACCTATTGAGATGTTACCCAGGGCCCAGATAAAATTGGCCTCCCTCCACCAATTCAGGCAACCCCAGCTGGAAATTATTTCTTTTCTAGAATCCTACAGACATTCATTATATCTCTAATTATTTCACTTAGCAAGCATTGACTGAGTGTGGATATATACCAGGTACCATGTCAGACAATGTAGAGATAAATCAGGCTCAGTCACTGCTTCAGGGAGCAAAATTTAGTGAGGAAATAATTCCAACACAGAGTGACAAGTACACTGTGTGAGAGTTCTTTCTGTGATACAGTGGGAGCACAGAAGTGGGGGAGGGGTGTCATTCATTCTTGAGGAGGTAATGCTTCATAATGCAGGGTTAACTAAGTTTTATTATTTACTATGTACTATTACATATAGGTTTCTCTTGTTTAACCATTTTAATCTCCATTTACAGACCAGGAAGACTCAGGATAAATTATACAGCTGGTACGAGACAGAGCCAGGATTCAAACCCAGGTCTGTCTGATGCCTACATCTGTGCTTTTTTCATTTTGTGTTTTGTCTTCTTTCTCACACCGTATCTCTCAATATCAAGAACATTGAAACAAGTATACAAGAGGAAAGAGTGTCGAAATTAATGGTACAGATGTTCTCTTAAATCTTTCAAAGCAAGACCATGATCTTTCAAAGCAAGAAGGTGGTAGGTGGGTCAGCTCAGCTTTGAATATGAGCAAGGAAAATATTCTGTAGAGAGTAACCATGCACTTGGTGTTCAATTCCTGGCTCCTCCTGTCGCTAGATATGTGACATTTGGCAAGTTTCTTAATTCTAAGCATTATTTTTCTCAAGTATGGGTTGGGACAGGAGATAGTATGGACCTCATGGAGTGTCGTGAATATGGAGTAAGCTGATGTGGATGAAAGGCCCGATGCATGGTGAGGTCTCTGAAGTGGTATCTGTGAGATGCACAGGTGCAATGACTGTGGCATGGTTTTAGAGTGCTGAGTAGACCAGCCTGAATAGATTGAGCCGCTGGCTTCATTTTCAGTGAGGATACTGGGAGGTAAAGGTGGAGGGTCAGTAGGGGTCAGTGTCAGCGAGGGCTTGAGTGTCAGACAAGAGAGGTAAATTCCGGTTTCTGTTTATAACTTCTAGTTAATACATACTTTGAGGATCTGTGATTTATTTAGCAGTGAAAGGGAATATGTTAGGTCCTGGGGCTGCAGGAGGGAATAAACCAGGTCCCCACCCTGAGATTGTTGACATTCCAGTCGGGGAGACAGACTTGTGTGCCGGTGAGCTGTAATAAAGTACTGTAGGTACAAAAATAGCAGTCCCCACAGGGTACAAGGATCACAAAGGAGGGAATGCTGATAACAGCAGCTAATGAGCACTTACTGTGTGCCAGCATTGTGTTAAGTGTATCATCTCATTTAGTTCTGTATAGGAAGGCATGTATTAGCACCCTGGTGTTACAGATGAAACTAGAGCAGAGAGAGGTTAAGTCAATTCCTGGAGTGTATGCAGCTGCAGTGGTGAGTAGAGGGGATTATCTGCTAGACTTTGGCATCTCCACTGTCTAGTCCCGCACTCTGTGGCTTCCTCTCTCAGATGGGGGTGGGGACCCTCCGGAGGGGCTTCAGAGAAGAGTGGGCCCGCGGGCCGTGTTCAGCGTGTTGGGCGCTGTGCTAGGCCGTAGGGATAATGAGGAATGAATGTGACCCCAGTACTCAAGGTGCTCATCGCCTCATCTGTCATGTGAAATCTATTTCTTTTCTTTCAGTGAGGGTTTTGTTTTGGTAGTTGACTCGTAACTGACAACTTTAGAAACTATTATACTTAAGTGGATTTATCAATGCTTCAGGCTGAGAATTGACTGGAAATCTCTTATTCTGATATATAGGCCTTATTGATTAAGATACAGCAGTAGATACCAAGTTGTCATATGACAAAGAATTCTGTCACATTATGTTCCCCCCCCCCATGGGAGGTGCCCTGACTTTGTGTTTCCTGTGAGCTTGAAGTTTTTGAGAAGTTTGACTTAAAAGTTAGCACATTTCAACTTGTGTTAAATTTAAAAGAATTGAGCACCCATATTTTGGTCATTGTTGAGTGTTTTTGTATATTTTGTTTCCTTCAATCTTCAGGGTTCTGAGAGATAGGTGGTATTACCCCATTTAACACACGAGTAGCCTAAGGCTTAGTGGTTAAGTATGTTACCCAGGAGTCACACAGCTGGTGAGCGACAATGCCAGAAAAAATTTGGACTTTCCATAAGAGTGAACAAATTTTATTATATTCATTTTCTTTGAGCATCTACCTCATGGGTCTCCAACCCAAATGTAACGAAGTAAGTAGGACAGACCTGAGTGGACAGGGGGCGGGGTGGGGGGGATATGACCAGCCTGAAGGTATAGTCACTGCTCGGCTCCAGCTGCTGATTGCTCTGTGAGAAAGTAGGCCTATTGTCCCAGGATGTTTTACCTGTTTTCAAGAGATGCTGGAAATCTGGGTTTTAATGTATCTAGCTTAAAAAATTTTGCCATTTAAAAAATCATTGTGCATACCAAAGCACATTTGTGGGCTGTGTACCATCCTAGGCTGCCTGGCTGTGAACGCTGATCTCCTGTATCACTGAAATTTTGGTACCCACTGTTCAAAGCAGGAGGTACCACACAAGTGGAGATTACTGATCAGTAGTCTACTAGTAAATTGCAGAGTGAAGGGCTGTTGTAACAGACTGGTACTGATGTTTTTAGGGAAGTGGCAGAGTGAATGCTTTCATTATATGATCAGGCTAAATTTCAGGAGGGATGGGGTTTGATGGGGAGATGACCTTGTAATACTTTTAGCACTTTAAATGCTATCAGATCTCTTGTCTCTTTTGATCCTCTCTACAGTGCCATGAAGTGAATGCGGAGGGTAAACGTAACCTCTTGAGAGGAAAACACTGGCGCCCAGTGAAAGACAGTTCAGTAGAAAGAGCGCTAGATTGAGAGAGACTTGAAGTCTGACTGTAGGTACGCTGCTAACAGCCTTATGATTTTGGTCAGGCCACTTAGAAATCTTTATGTCTTTTTTTCCACCTGGATGATAATGAGGACTCAAATCAAGTCTTGCTGAGGTCTTTTCAGGATGCCAAGCTTTCTGATTCCATTTGACATGTTCAAAGTTACGCAGCTGATTACTGGCAGACCCCAGTAGAGAACGGTTCAGATTTAAAGTGCTTCTTCTCCTCTCTTGGCAGGTAGGGAGCCACTGCTCTGCTCTTCCCTCTGTTCTTTGTTTATTACTACTTCTGGGAAAGGATCTTGACAGGCCAGGTGCTTCCCAAATGCACATAGTGCTTTGTTGACTGTATATACACAAGATTGAAAGGGGGCATGGAGACACCCAGCACAGTGAGAGAAATATGGTATGGGAGTTCCCAGCCCAAGAGTTTAATTTATTTTTATTTTAGTACCCAGCTTTCACAAGGTGAAAATTGAAAAAAAAATATTACTCTTCGAGATACGTGTTTTCGTTCATACTCTATTGTATCAGGAAAAAACATGGAATATAAAAATAAACAAAATAAATCCTGAGCAGTCATTCAAAATTGATTAACTTTAGTTGGCAGCAGTCCAGACACATTGGGAAAATAGATTTAATATAGGAGACACAAAATTTGGGCCCTAAGAAGAAAACAGTTTTAAGTAATTGAAAGTGAGAAAAATGGGAGAAACTACTCAAAAAATAAAACTTAAATTCTGGGAGCAGCAAGAACGTATTAGAATAAGTATTGGAATTAAATTACAGTAATCGCTTGTGAAATAAATTGAATATTATGTCACATTTACCTGTAAATATATGCAGTATTAGAGTCATATCCTATTTCTTAAGTATACTTTCATGAATATGCTGTTATTATTGTTGCACACAAAATGAACTGAATTTTACACATTCAAAACAATAACATTTTTTAGTTCCCTATGGACGCATTTTAAGGTATATTATTATAAGTAAATATTGCTTCAGCAGAGGAATTGGTAGAAAACCAATTTCTTTTTTGTTTTGTTTTAAAGCAAAATAAATTTTTCATCTGAACTTTAGTTGCTGGCATAAAAGATGTTAGCAAAGAACTGACATGCAGACTTGAACTTGAAGTCACACCCACCTGTATTTGAATATTGGCTTTGTCAGTTACAAACTGTGTGACCTTCACAATCTGCAAAATGAGGATAGCACTGCCAATGTCATACACTGCTTATGAGAGTTAAATGGAATAACTTATGTAAGTACCTAGTTCCATAATGTTTTCTGAGAGATGCAGGTACAAGCATTCAAGGCCGCAAGACTTTCAGATATTAGTATAATCTAATAAGAAATGTTTCTATGGAGTAATTGTGAAGGAGTGAGACTCATTTCATGTCTAGATTGTGAAATTAGTCTCGTCAGTTTCTGGCTGTGCTTTGTGCATCACTTAGCACACCTACCAAGTGTGCACTCTGGAGAAAAGGGTTTCAGTCTGCCATTTAGAGACTAGTAAATGAATTGATATGTTAAGTAACGGTGAACACCTTCAGTTGCTTGTATTACCTCTTTTTTGTGCCCGCGACTACCTGTTGAAATTGTTAGAACAAAGGATATTTTGTCCTCACCCCCATCTTGCAAATGCTGAAACTGAAGCTTAGAGAAGTAAAGTGATTGAAGGTAGAGAGCTACCGATAATGGCAAAGGTAGGATTCGAACCCTTGTTTTTTGCCTCTAATTACAGTGCTTCTGTCGCTATTCCATGCTGTTCTAGATTTGGATGTTGAAACTGACCCTTATTTCGGGACTGTCATCAACCATGGTCCTTCTTACTCATTTAAACTTAATGCCTGTGGAAAGTGGTTATTGATTACATTGTGAGAATGTTTGATTACAGGCATAACCTTATGATACCAAGTTTAAAGATTTGATGGAACTCTAATAACACTCATTGCTGGCAGAGGATGGTGATGAGGTGGTCACTCATGTTGCTAGTGGGGATATGAATCAGTCACACTTTGCTGGAAAGAGCTGTGGCAGTATTTATCACAGGCCTTACCAAAGTAAGTCATGCGTACCTTTTGAGCAATTCCATTTCTAGGAAGTGTTGGATAAAGGGATAATCAGATGTAGGAAAATGTTCATGCTCAAATATGTTCACTGCAGTGGTAGTTATAATGGTAAAAATTAGAAACAACTTTAGTACTTGACAAAGAGTTTAGAGAAATGCCATAGAATGGCATTCTATGCCATTCCATTTTATGGAAAAGCCATAGAATGGAAATACTGTACAGTAATTTTAGATGTTTTAGAAGAATTTTAATGATATTAATATGCTTATCATGTAACATGAAGAGAAAAAAGGATATATAACTACAAAGTATGTCCAATTATATTGTACATATGAAGGAAAAGAAATAGGAGGTAGGATGATAGGTCTTTATGCATCACTGTTTTCCAAAACATTGTCTGGAAAACATGAATAGTTTTTAATAAAAAATTCT